ACACACATAAAATAATATGGTTTGGCTTAATTCTTTACTTTAGCTCATTAACATTAAATAATACCTTAACCTTATCTTAAAGTTACAATTTAACCATAGAATATATTAAATAAAAATTCATTATATTACTTTATATATTCATTATAAAATTACAATAATACAACAAAATTAATGTCTTAAAATGTTAAATATTAGATAAATAAAAATAAAAAATTATGATGATAATCCAGGTTAAAACCGAACCGGTCATGGCACTAGGTCACGGATTAGTGGTTCAATTAGGGTTGAACTGGGGGTTGAACTGGTGGCAAACCAGTCATGATTAAAATAATACAATTTAAATAAAAAGACATTTATTATAAAAACATTCAACCAAATCTAACCACTCAAAAGTCTAACAGTAATAAAATACAACACTTTAAATATCTATCATTACAATTACAACTCTTTAATCTCAAAAGTCTAGAGAAGAGATGGAGATAGAGTTGGAGAAGAGACGAAGATTGAGCTGGAAAAGAGATGGAGAGTTAGAGACTAAGCTAGAGAAGAGATGGAGATAGCAGAGACAGAGATAGAGCTAGAGAAGAGACAGAGACAGAGCTGGAGCGTGGAGAAGAGACGGAGACTAAGCTAGAGAAGAGACATTGATTAGGTTAAGGCGAGAGAGGAGAGACACAGATGAAAGGCCAAACTAAATGCTGTCTGAAAATCTGGATTGGACTTAGCGTGCTCTACCTCTAATTTTTCATTTTTTGACTTTAGTTTCACTTTTTTTTGTTATCTTATTTCTAAACTTAGCACTTTGAAAAATTAAAAATGAAAAAAAAATCCCCAAAAAAATAACCTAGTTAACCTAGTCAACCCACCGGGTTAATCGGGTTATATCGGGTTACACCAGTTCATTCCCTCACCAGTTTAGGAGTAAACCCAGACCAGACAAGGGATCGGGTCACCAATTTTCGGGTTGACCTAGCATGTCCGGTCCGGGTTTTAATACCATGATGATAATACAAAATAAAACTTTTAGCGGTAACATTCAAAGTTGCCGCCAAAAGTCTCATTTTTATCGGCAACACTAAAAAGTCACCACTGATTCTCAACTTTCAGCGATGACTTTTTAGTGTCACCACTGAAACTTACAACATAAGTTTTTTTAAAAAAATCATAACATATTTTAAAATATATTAACAATCAGCGACGACACTAAAAAGTTACCACTAATTCTCAACTTTCAGTGGCGACTTATATGTCGCCACTAAAACTTACAACATAATTTTTTAAAAAATTATAATATATTTTAAAATATGTTGACAATCAGCAGTGACACTAAAAAGTCATTGCCAATTCTCACCTTTCAATGGCGACTTGTATGTCACCGCTGAAACTTACAACATAATTTTTAAAAAAAAATTATAACATATTTTAAAATATGTTGACAATTAGCGGTGACACTAAAAACTCACCGTCGATTCTCAACTTTCAGTCACCGCTGAAACTTACAACATAATTTTTTTATAAAAAAATTATAACATATTTTAAAATATGTTGACAATCAGTGACGACACTAAAAAGTCACCATTGATTCTCAACTTTCGGCACTTACAACATAATTTTTTAAAAAAATTATAACATATTTTAAAATATGTTGACAATCAGTGATGACACTAAAAAGTTACTGCTGATTCTTAACTTTCAGCGGCGACAGTAAAAGTCACCACTGAAAGTATGACTTTCTGCGACGACATGCAAAAAGTCAAACTTTCAGTGGCGACTTTTACTGTCACCGCTAAAAGTTAAGAATCAGCGGTGACTTTTTAGTGTCGCCGTTGAAAGTCATTTTTTTTTTGTAGTGTTATGTAAAAGGTCCTAAGTTCGAAATCTCTTTAGAGCACAAGAAGGAATTTTATTTCTTTTGGTTTTAGCATATATGAAGTTACTATCATGCCCTCTTCCTCATTTTATAAATTCTCTTTTATTTATTCTTTATCCAGTCGGCACACACACACATACAAAGAGAGAGAGAGAGAGAGAGAGAATTTGAGAGTGTTCAATATTACTCTCCAACCTTCTACCATAACTGACCATCTCTTCCCTCTTTACTCTTGGTTATCACCAGTGATAGAGGAGGCTCACCACTACTCAGTAACGTTTAGGTGCTCCTTCATGCATTCAGACTCTATTTTTTTCTTGATCTGTTGCTTTCCCTGTGTCATTCACATTTAAGTTGTGGCTGGAGTAAAGGACGAAATCATTGAAGCTAGAACGTTCTTTTCATGAGTTCTTCCTTCCCCAATTCAGCTGTTAGCCTTAATATCCCTTCATTTCTGTACTCCCTATTTCTGTGTCTTCTCTGTATGCTATTCTATTTGTGTTATTCTGGGCTGAGAAATCACAAAAGCATCAGAACTAGGGTGGAGCTGTTACTGTAAGCTTGTATTAGTGCTGTGGAGTCATGCTTCTTCCATTATTGTGCATGGTGACTGTGTTTACCTTATATCTCCCCTGTTCAGCCGTCTGTTTCAACTTCTTCTTCCTTGTTTTCTGTTGTGGTGAGTTAAAGTGAGAAAATTTCACGTTTAGGCTTCTCTTGCTCTGTGTACATGTGAACTAGTGATTAAAGTGGAAAAACTTGGCTCCCCTATTGCTATCTGTGACTGTACATGGGTGATTGAAAAAAAAATTATTACGCATGCCTTTTATTGATGTTGGCTGTGCTATTATAGGATGGAGAAGATTCAAATTTAAATTGGAAGTTCATTCTAAAGTTTGATAAATATATATATATATATATGTGTGTGTGGGTCATAATTTTTGGCGCTAAATAAATCTAATTTGGATTGAATATGGTTAAAGAAACTATTAAGGAAAGATAGGAAGAGAGTAGCTTGGATATATAACTTAAATAACTAGAATTTATGCACCTAAAGTAATTGGTCCAAAACTTATGAGAAAATTTTTACCTCAAGAATGAGGAAGGTTATAAGTATGAAGGATAATGTTTGTGGGAGAAGTATGTTAGTATGGAAGCTATGGAATTATGAATTGGTGGTTTTGACTAAAACAAATTAGTGGGGATTAGTGATATTAATGATAACACTTGAATCAACTCTAAATATGAAACTAGTTTTGGAATTTTAGATGATGGTGGTTGATTTAGAATTATGTTAAAAAAATTTATTTATTTATATCATGATAAGGTGTGAGGAAGAACGAGACCCTAACTAGAATTAAAGGAAAGGATATTTTTGAGAATTTGAAGCTCTGACGAGTAAGGGAATAGCATGCCATTTAATTTATTTTAATAGACTTTTACTAAAATATTTTATTCTTATGAATTACATTAATTTTGAAAATTATGAAATATTAATGAAGGACAAATGAGTTATAATACGTGCATTTACTTATTTTCAAAAGTATATTTTCAAGATTGATGAAAACATTTTTGTATGGTTGTTATTTGAAATGTATTGGCTATCCAATTACTGCAAGCTTGGTATATTAGCTATAAAGTATGATTTTCACAAATTTTGAGAATTGAAACAATTCATGCAAGTTTAGCATTGAGAATGGTAATTTTGTTACAGCAGTAATTATTCTTCTCGCATGTTTGAAATGTGATTTTTTAAGAGGAATCTAAATAGAACAGTGCTACTAACGGTATTTCCATTAGCCCGTAGCACTGTGGTTAAACACTACTAATTTGTCTTGTGAGCTTTATTCTCACGTTTGGTATTCGTGGGCTTTGTACTCACGTTTGATTCCATGGCTTGAACCATGTTTGGTCATTTACCCTCATGGACTATATGTCCACGTTTGTTTTTCATAGCTTCGATTGCATTTGGTTACTTACCTTTATAGACTGTGTGTCCATATTTGTTCTCGTGGCATAAGCTACGTTTGGTTATTTACCCTTATGGACTGTGTGTCCTTATTTGTTACCTGTTCTGTTGAGTTTTCAAAATTTAAATGTTGACTAATATGTGTTTTCGAAATTTACATAATTTTGGCTAACAATTATACCACTCTAATTTATATGTGAGTAAATTATTTTTCTTTAAGCATGATAACATAAATTGTTTTTAATTTACTCTCATTTTACAATTATGGTTATAACTTACAGACTTATAAATTTGTTTTGTTGAATTATTTTTAATTAGTTTACACCATTATTAGAGTTTATTGATTTAAATTTTAAAAATTTTACTTTGGGAATGCTATTCACTGAAAAAACTTATTTTGGCCTCAGATTTTTAGCTGACGTTGATCCCATTATCAACCTCTAAAGGGCAATATAGCTACATTAAGTGGAAATTTTGATTGGTACTGTTGCTTTTAATGTAAATATATAAGTCACATGTATTTTGATTTAAAAGAAAGATTAGTGATGCATGTAGATTATTGTTAGGATTTTATTTTGATTTGTATATTGGTTGCTGGCTAGAGGGAGCTACGCTCCCGATTTATACTATTATCTGTAAAATTTTTCTGTTATAGAATTTTCAAGAGATCCTAATTACAGGGGAGGTTTTGTTGAAATTTCTACAAAAACATTGAAGTCTTATGATAAGTAATATTAAAAGTGTTATAAATTTTATATAATCTAATTTTTTTTGAAAAAATGGATTGAATTTTCATGTTAAGGCTTACAAGAATACGCGATGTAGTTTGCGCCCGTATCAGTCACCCTCTATTTTCAAGGTGTGACACTTGGTTACATTAATGCTCTTCAAATTCATCTCCACCTCTCCTTATCGAACATCTAATAATAATAATAGACATTTTAAACATTAGAAAAAGTTCAAAGAAACAAAAATTGCTTAACAATAAGCCTATATTACTCAACCCTATGCTTGAATAAATATGTAAAGACTAATGAAAAAAGGCATTGCATGAGTGTGAACATATTACAATTTGAAGAACACACACACAGACACGTATAAAATTGAAAATGAATGTATGATGTCAAATAACTATTGATATACCTTTGGTATGTCATTGATTTTGGTAACAAAAGATTAACAAGCGATTATGAGAATTCAATAAAGAATCTACCATGAGTCCTACATTGGCAAGCCTCACAAGTGAAGTGAGCTTAGTGTGAGAGGCTCTTTAACCCAACAACCTAGTCTTTTGGTATAGGTTTTCTCTTTGAATTTGTACTCATGACAGCATCTAGATTATCTCCACACTCAACGCCAACATAAATTATATTAGGCTTCACGATCTCACCAGTTAGCTTACATTGTCACAAACATCAAAACCATAGACTTGTGGGTTCGTAATAGACTGGAAACATGGTGCCAGCCATGACTGCAAGACTAGCCATCGAAAGCACCCGTAGATGCATGTTCTGGCTTGACATCATATATGAATGGACAGGATTTTGTTGCCTCGTCAGAAGTCATTTTTGCTAGCAATAGAGGGTGGTTAATGTTTTAGGTTAGGCTGCATCAGGAACCCTTGGATAAGATTGAATAAACCTAAAAAACACACATTTTAGTGATAAGAACATATTTGAAAAGTATAAGTAACTTAAAAGTGTATAGTATTAGATGTATGATGGTCCCACATCGAGTAATAAGATAATTAATTACAACTATATAAGTGTGCAGTGAGTCCTCCAAAGCAGCTAAAGTTAATTTAGTGTAAATGAAGAGTCGTAGTATGTGATTAATATAAAATGCTAACAATTAGTTTGCTATAACCCATTAACTCAACAGATTGAGTAATCAACAGACTGCGTAAACTCTACCAAGTACTGGTTTCCCCTACAAAATTAGTCATTCCACTTAGAACTGACAAGGCCCAACTTATTTCTATTAAATTAAAAAAATCATTATTGTTTATTAAATAATATCATGAACTTAACAAAGCTAGGAAATTAATTGGATTGTTTACTTGAACCTCTTTTGCTTGTCTTTGTCCATTGCCGCTTAGGTCTTCAACAAAAGGGATGTTTATCTAATTTTATAAATTTATTTTGTTAAATAATAATCAGATTAATATAACCACAATATTTGTTGTATGTGCTTGTAGCGTGGAAATGATTTATCTAATTAGCTTATATTGTCAATAAAATATTATAATGGTTTAACCATATATATGATCATATATATATAGTTAAAATACACATAAATGTACCTTTGGTATATCGTTGATTTAGTAGGCATAGATCAACACACGCCATGATGCTGAATGATATTTTTATCCTCTTCATCTTCATCATCATTGTATGCTTTGTCAGACTTCATGCTTAACAATGAGTGTGAAAACAAATACCAACACAGTCAATAGGTTTTTTTCCTTAAATCAAGCCAACCATAAATGAAGATAAAACACTAAGCAAACGAAAAGATTAGTGCACAAACAAGACAAAACCTTTTATAACAAAATCAGAAAGACTTTAAGTGAAAAACCAACAACTTTAAGGGAAAAAATATTCTTATTTTGTTTATAAAAATTGTTGAAATTAATTTAGCCCACCACTCTGGCGAAAATTTTCATTTTTTTAGCCCCTAAATGCTGGTTTCTAGTCAATTGTTATAAGCCAATCGATAAAACCTAATGCCAACAACCGATCATCACCCAAAGTAACTTAAATCAAAGAGCAAAAGCACACCACCAAAATTTCAAAGAGGAAACTTAGATCATAACCATAGTCGCCATGGACATCGAATCACAAGCATGCAAAATCCACACCTTGAATTTACCAACCACAAATAGTTTCATACTAAATCTAAATAAAATCACAATATTTGATGAGTTTAAGTGAAACATACCTCCACCGCAACACAAGGAAGCCAGATCTGAGTGATTCACCACGAGATTGCAAATCGAAGAGATGATCCATCACCATCCAAACACTCTCATTAGCTGGAAAACACATGCGCCTAGCTCAAACCCTCTCACGATCAGAGCATAGGGCAGAGGGTAACCTAGATCCACCGACAAAAAACGCAAGACAAACAACAAGCTCTCTCTTACAATAAGAGAGAAATAAAAGGGGACCCGGCCCTTTGCCACACATACTATTGATTTAATACTATCTTTTTCTCAAGAGAATTTTATCAATAACATGTAAATAAACTTGTACAAGAAATGTGTGCCTCTGCACGTGCGAGTGTGTGAATAGGTGATCGTATGTCTGTGTGTGTGGGTGACAACGAGAGAAAGAGAGAGAATAAGTTTAGGTATAGGTCTTTTTATAATCATTAATTATTAATTATAGAGTATAATTTAAATTTTCAGATATATATAATCATTATATATATAAAAGTAGGGTTAAAGGCTATAAGAAAATGCCACGTGTTTTTTTTTTTTAATTTGCTTGCAATTCTATGTTTTGAGATGTCTTTTTTATAATTCTATGCTTTGGAGTTAAGTTTGGGATTAGGTTTAAGATCATTTATTATTTTTAATATATATAAAATATATTATTTAGGTTTGGAGTTAGGTGTGGGATGAATTATTAATTTTTAAGTGTATATAAAAATTATTTTTACCTATTTGAAATTAAAATATGAGCATATTTGAATTCAAATTAATATATATCTATTTAAAGTTTTCATCCACCATAAGGATATGCAAAAATCTAGATTCATATAATTGAGTGTATACACACATATAAATATCCTGAAAATTTTTGAAGCTAGGTTCTTTTTATATATACAGTAAAGAATTCTCATTATTTTAGAAAATTTCAACCTATTCAAAAGATGTTTCGAAAATTAAGCTTCATAAATGGATTGGTTAGAAAAAAAGACTGTATATTTAAAAAGGATTATTATTTTTTATATTTATTTAAATTTTAAAATTATATAGTTAATTATGCAAAGTTTAAAGTTTATATATCAATCATATCATAAATTTGAATAAGAAGTTATTGCTCTATTCGTGTGATGTTCGAAAATTTTGATCATATTATAAAGTAATATATCTATATATTCAAAATTCAAAACGATATTTAGCTAAGGGAAAAATAGATATTTTTAAATATAAAATAATTTATATGTAAAATAAATGAGTGATTACTGGTGGTATATATTTTATTTTCCTTTAACTATATTTATCTATTCAAAATTCAAGTCAAATCATATGAAAAGGAGTAATCAAATTATTTTCCATATTCATACAATAATAAAATTATATTTTGTTTATATTTTGACAGGTCCAGTTTGAAAAATAAAAATTATAATACACACACACACGTATAGAGTAAATGAGAGGTTACCTATTTATTATATTTTCTTTTATTTGAAATTCAAAATAATTTTTTATATTAAGAGTATAAATTGATTACTCGATTTTCAATTTCAATATATATATATATATATATATTAATTATCCCCCTTGATTAATCAATTATTTTGTTAAGATTTTAATGATCCTGGTTGATTGAAATTTCAAAATTTAAAATTCCCCCCAACACCAGCTAGATACTAATTATAAATAGAGTGGCTCGGATACATATTCATTCATCAATTTTGGTTTTGGTTCTTATATTTCATCCATTTTTGAGACCATTATATATTTAGATGTCTCATTATTCTTTTTTGTCTTTTAATTAATTTATATGAGCATTAATTATTTTCTATTTTGTTAGCTTGAGTTGTTTGTTTTAATAATGTTACTTGTGCTATCAATCCCAATGTGACTAGCATCTCATAGTTTAAGTGATTCATCCTTGAAATATGTCTGAATGAACCTTATGAAATAATTCAACATGTTTTGAATTAGTTTTAGAAGATACGAATGTAAGTTTTTGTGTCTATTCTCTTCTTTAAAGTGATATCAAATTTTACTATTTTATTTTTATCTTATAGTTATACATCTTCTATATAGGTAATCAAATTTTTATAATTTTTTGAAAGTAATTTCTCAAACATTTCGTTCAGAGGTTATAAGAAAGAAGTATATAATTAGTAAACTCTGAATTCATAATTTGCAAATGTTTTGAAACTTTCATTTATACACACACATACACCCCATAGAAACAAACATGAAAGCTTCTAAGCTTCTTCTTTCTCAATCTTTCATCACCCCTACAACTCAATGTTCACAATCCTAGACAAAACACCATCCACAACAATCATTGCATCATAGTCCTTCTCATCTTATTCTTGTCTCTAGCTTGAAGGCGTTTAAGCATTCCCTTGATGCGAGCAATAATTGACTCAACATATAGATGAAGACTTATTATCAAAAATATGTTCATTTCTCCTTTTCACAATAGCCAACAAATAACCACAAAAAACTCCTTCCATTTCTGCTCATTTCTTCAAGCATTATTCTTCAGATTCCACTCACATCAAGCCTTCAAAGGAGATCAAAAAATTAATTAATCTTAACTGTAGAAGGATACTAGACCATACTTTTTCAATGTAACATTACCTTTATGTAGTTAATTGCAAATAAAATCAAGAAAAATATTATAAATTAAAAAATATTTAGTTACTTTGAATTCATGATTAATCGATTGAATAAATGTTAAGTCCTTATTTTGTTCAGTTTCTACTTCTTTTTGTTTTTCTTTTGCAAAAAAGAAAATAAAGGAGAGATTTGCATGTTATCAAACAATTATAGTTGTTCATATTTAATAATATTTTATATTTTTATCATACCCATTATATAGCGTTTTATTTGGGGTAATAAGAACAGAAAAAACTGTTTTTGGGGTGCAATTCTATGATTCCTATCGAAATTAAAAAAAATTCCAGTTAAATTTTGAATATATGCTAAATTATAATCAATTCATTATTTCAAATTATATTAAAAAAATACATTTCAATAAAAATATTTTAATTTTAATATAAAGATCAATGATAAATATTTCAATAATTTCTAACTTAATTATAATATAAATATAAATAATTTTAATAATAATTTAAATGTATTGTAATTTTCAAAATATAGACAATAAAATTTTAATAGACAATCATATCAATATTATCCGTGTCTAAGTTAAATAATTTATTCTTTGGATATTGAATCTTCGTCTTCCATCATGTTACTGGAGGAAATGAATGATAAATTAGAGCAAGTTAATAAGGATATAATGTAAATTATGAAATTAATGAAAAAATTTTAAAAATAAAAAATAAAATATTATAAAAAATTAGGATATATTTGATACAGGCATATTTAAAAAAAAATTTGACCCGTGCATCACTTAATTATGTACTTCAAGATGTCTTTTTTGTAATTTTATACTTCATGAGATAAGTTTAGTTGTTAATTTGTGGGTACATTTTTATTATTTTTTAATTATTTATATATATAAACTAAAAAGTGATTAATGTATAATATAACTTCAATCTTTTAGATTCAAATCCACTTACTTGGATATTATTATAAGCTCCTAATAGAACATAATATGCTATCGACTTATTTTACATAATTATGAAATATTGTCATTTGAATTGCAAATATTTAAATTTTGGATGAAGTTTTAATAAGATCTAATAAGTATAATTATTTATGCTAAATAAAATCAAATTTCAATATTTATGCATGCTACTTTCAATTTAAAATTGGTAGCTTATTAACTCCATAACCACATAATCAAAATAAAATACTTAGAATAATTTTTTAATCAATCATATAATCTCCAACTCAATTTAAAATTAATCAAAAGTTAAACTTTTATTTTATCATCTTTTAATCTATCCCAATAAACCTTGAATGTTTCAAATTAAAAATACAATTATTTAAACAGAAAATAGAAATAACATCATTTAATTAAATAATATAAACGTATCCTTGAAATTTAAATATCGAGACGGAATTCATAATGTTGTTATCAACTCAAACACCAACCCGAATTTATTTTATATCATTAATCTGAAATATAAAAAATCATGTTTTTAATAATTAAGAAATAATATATTAGTTCAAATGTTCACAAAGTAACAACATTTAAAAAAGTTGTAAGATTAGACAATTCTAATATAATGTCATATATCTAATATCTATATAATGTATAGTTGTATACTATAATGCATAGAAGTAAAAAAGCATATATTTTTTATATATCAATTTGATTTTATACTTTACGCTTTTTATATTTCACTTATATATAATTTTTCAATATTCTTCAATTTTTATTTTTCCTTTTCGCTCAATACGTGTTAGCTTAACATTTTTAATAAAAATTTGTGAGCCTTGCCTAATTATTCACAAATTTTTCATCTAGCACACATAGATTGAAATACTTTCTCCATTTTAAATTATAAGATAATTTGAGATAAAATTACATATATCAATAAAACACAATAATAACATCTTATAAACTTATTTTTTCAAAACAAAATTATAAAGTTCTAAAAATACCCTGCACACTTAATTATTACTCTACAATATCATTTTAATTCTTTCTCTACCTAAAAGATAATATTAGAAAAATATAATTAATGAAACCTTATTTTTTTCAAATTCTCTTATATTTTGGAACAAAAAATTCCTCCAGCTTTATTTTATAATTTGGAATGGATGAAGCATATAATTTATTTAAAAAAAGTAGCATGAAATTTAGTTGGTAAAAAAAAGTGACATGAATTTCCATCTATCACTAATTATACTTTTCTCTTTTTTTAAAAGATATTTCTTTATTCACTATATAAAATTTGACAAATAACTTAGCAAGTTATTTATGACATTAATGGTATGGATTGTTATATACTTTCATTACATATATTTTATATATTTTTTTGGTCATAGATATCCTTCTATTAGAGGCTATCCTATTTATGCACGGTTAATCAATCCTATTTCAATATTTATTCATTTTATGCTATCAAGATATTTTATATAATTATAGAATATTGTTATTTGAATTTCAACTGTTTAAATTTGGATGGAGTTCTATAAGATCCAATATTTCATAATTAAAGAGAATGGTATTGATCATTGTGAAAAGAATAATGGAAGAGTT